TTTGTTTTCTATTTTATTTTCTATAATTCGGAATTGAACTCACTTTAATACGCATTACTGCCGTCAGATCAACTGCTCTTCTGTCTTTGCTTTTATCGTGCCCAACTCGATGTATGTAAAACTGCGACAAAAATTACTTCCCCATGTAAGCGTTTACTCCTGAGGGCTTCACAGTCACACATAATGTGCTCTGCTGTTTTTTGTTCTTCGTGGCACAACCTACAGTGATTTGAATTAACAACTTTTATTTTTTACAAGTATTTCATTACCATGCAGTGGCTGGTTAAAAAATTTGTTGATATATTCGGAATGAAGGACTTGCCGTTCTGTTACCTTCCGTATTTGTCCCGCAATGTTGCGCTTCATTCTTCATCCAGATATACTACATATTAGTTTCATATGAATCCCTGTGCAGCCCATTTTCTGGCGGGAATATCTGCTACTTCATTGCCCATGACTCCACTGTTTGTCGGTATCCAGATGAGATATGCCCGGCTCCTGAATGCGATAAGATGACCTCGTGCGTTTTAACCCTGTCGAATCGGAAATCAACCAGCAGACAAATATCGGGTTTCGTGACTTTTTTAGCTTTGTTATATATGTAGATATAATACAAAATACAAAAATTATAAAAAGATCCCCCTCGCTACAGGGGCCTAGAAGGGGTGGGTTATATGCGTCCCATTCGGTATTTTGGACGTCTGGAAAATCGTTGTCAGAAAAGTCAGCAGAATCATCACCTTCCATTAGCTGGGCTAATATATCGTCCTCTTGAGGTTTCTTCGACATAGATACATATGTATAGTATGTAGTACAAAGTTCGTCTACGAAAACAGAGTTACCTTGCCCTACGCCGGTGAAAAGGAGCCTTCTGTGTTAATGTAGACGTGCCCAATTGAATTCGAGATTTGTAAGAAGTCGCATTTACAGCCATATTACATATCTATTTCGAACGACAGGCCGCACGAACGATTCGTTTGTAGACGTCTAATTTTTTTTTTTGTAACTCTATCGTTCGTCTTTTTCATGTTTTACGACGATTACGTTAAACTCGTCCCGGTTACATTGAAATCGGTCAGAATTTCGTTGCCGGACTAATTTTTGAAGCATTCGTTTGCAGGTGAATCGTTTATGCAGCCTATCGTTCGAGAAAGATAATACGGCTGTAAAAGCCCAAACAGACGGCAGCGTTGATCCGCATTAACTCGGACTTAATCCGGATCAACGCTGCCGGCTGTTTAAGCTTTCAGATATCTAGAAACGAGTCTTGAACAAACTCCATTGGACAAAGAGGCTTACAACAAAGAACTTAGTACAATATATGCTATCGTGGAAAACAACGGATACAAGAAACCTAGTAAACAAGATTAGAAGAAACGCAAAAACAATGAAATCGGCGACTTCCCACTCGGGGGTTACCGTGTAATTTCTGATCCTTCAGTCTAATGATGGCTGTTTAAACTTCGAAATGGAAATGTGCAAGACGGCAGGGCCAGCATTTGCTGAGTTCATACACAATTTTATCGCTGTTACATTTTTTTTTTTAACTTTCCTTCACAGCCACGAGCCTTTTTCATTTTTATGTTAACCAATTTTCCAAGAGAAAGATAAAATGTGTGCAATTATAATAAAAACCGAATGGAAAATATTACAGGGAGAAGAATTCAAAACACTCAAATTATGCAAAGAAAAGGGACATGAAAATGTTTGAAAGGAAATTTTTCTCTCGACGTTTTATATGCATACATACAAACACACATAAATGCATATGTACATACATACATACATATATAGCTAGGTAGATTTTCTTGAAATAGTTTACCTCCCCTCCGTAGCCGAATTCCGTTAATAACAAAAATATGGGGAAAGAAGTAAAACTTAAAAAAGGCATAAAAATCAAGCTGAAGTACTACAAAAAAAAACAAAAAATAAACAAAAGCAAAGCTAACGAAAATTGGGGCCGAACAAAAAGCGATGGCGCAAAGAAGTAGAGACACAAATGCAAAATGTGAAAAATCGCCATGAAAAAAGAAACAAACAAAAAAAATTTGTAATAATAATAAAAATGCAAAGATGAAAAATATAAAAAATACGACAAAAAAGGAAATTATTTCTCGTTGCAGAAATGAGGACGAATTTTTATTAACGTCATTCCACTTCATCCCGCCGAGCGCACTGCTGCTGCTGCATCTTCTCACTGAGGCGCGCACACCTTTTAATTTTTTTCATTATCCTTCACCGTTATGCTACGGTTGCCATACGGCACTTGCTATCTTCTTTGCCCCATTTAACGTTCAACATTACCTTTCGTGTATTTTTGGTCCTTTCGTTTTACAATATTTTAAAAAGCACGTACTTACATACAGACATTCATACATACATACATACATATGTACATAGTATGCACAAAAAGGAGCAAGCGCATGCACAAATAAATAAAAAAAATAAAGTTTAAATGAAAATGCAGAAAATTTCGCGCGAATTTAATTTGTAAATTNAAGCTAGCGCATGCACAAAAAAATAAAAAAATGAAGTTTAAATGAAAATGCAGAAAATTTCGCGCGAATTTAATTTGTAAATTTCTTTGGAAAGGAAAATTTGCAAAAAAAAAACAACAACGAAATAATGAAAACGAGTAGTGGTGGGCTCTTGACTTAATGCGCGATTGCCTGAATTAAACGCCAACACATACACACATACATACACAGAGCTTTGTTAAAGGTGTAAGTAAAATATGCTATATACATATACATTAGGGTGCAACACTCTCCATACAAAAAATATTTTCTGTTCTATCGGAAATTTAAATTTTTTTACATTTTAAAACTTTAGCCAAAATATTTCGGAGAAATATTAAGATTCCTACCAAAATCGATTTTTTTATTAGTAAAATTAGTTTTCAAATATATTTTTTCGGTGACACCTATGTATATTCTGGAATAATCACAAACTTCCTTGGCAAAATTTTAATAATTTTTGGAGAACTTTAATTTACTGACATTAGGGTGGCGGGTAAGTACTCGACCCCAGAGTTTGAGCTCAATGAGCTTTTGACGCAAAACAATATTTCGAAATTGCCTTACAAAAATACTTAATACTAAGTTCAGACAGAAATTAAATTGAGTCAATTACCTTTTTAATTGAGCTACTGCTTTATGGTGTTCACACTGTCAGTTTTCCGATTAGCAATGTGCTGCAGTGATGGAAAAGTTGGCACAATCGTATCTCTCTTTAATTTGAAAGTACATTCGGTATAAGCACACTATTTTGGGTACATTAGGAATATAACAAAAAAAAAACTTTTCAGGAAAATATTTCTTATTTTACAGGTCTATTCTGCGCAAATTTTGCAACGGTAAATAAAGTTTATGTCAATTTTTGCACCCTTTTTGCATTCTTCTTTCTTTCGAGATTCTTTATTTTTATAGCCAAATTCGTTTAATGTGAGCCCAAAGAGAGAGATAATCCGCTTGTTTTATTTTTAAATTTATGTGTACACCTAATAGCACATAGTTACTTCTTAGGAACATTAATATACTTTTAGGTAAGTTTTTCCCTAAACTAGGTACAATTTGAAAATTAAATTTTCCAACCCTGATGGAATATCAGCTGTACAAGAAGACCAGAAACAAACAGTTAATAGCTATTTGTTCAATAAAAATACCTCAAATATGAAATTAAATATACCCAGCAGGGTTGCATGCAAACATTCATTCAATTAGCACTCAATCAACCACTAAGCGAGTAATTAAGATTGCAATTTTTTTTTATGGTAAATCGAGCCCAATTAGCGCCGCAATCAAGAAAGCTTGGCAAATTGCTCGATTAAATAACTGCCTCTCCAAACTTGGTATTAGATTCAGAGGTGTACGGTGGACTTTTTTCTGGTACGGTCTAATGTACATTAGGGTTGTACAAAAATACAAGCGGGGGGAAAAAAGTTTAAAATGTTAAGCTCTCACCACCTAAATTTTCCAAATGGAATCAAAAAATACCCGTACTATTTTGTTAAAAAAAAGATATTTAGAACTGCATCCAGGCCCATAAATTTTTTCATGTGTTTTATATGGGGGAAAACACTTTCTCGCAGAATTGGTATAGAATTCTTGAAAATCAATATTTTTTGATCGCTTTACTCTTAAGTAAACTTCAAATAACAATATCAAGTGGTTTATTTAACCATTTTTTAATATTAACAATTTTTTATAGGTAACCACAAAAACCCCCAAAAAATGCAATGGAGAACCGCTGAAAAATCGCTAGTATTAAAAAATGGTAAAATTAACAATTGGGTATTCAAGAATTCTATACAATTTCTACGAAAAAGTGTTTTTTCCTCATATAAATTAAATTGAAAACTTCATGGGCTTTGAGGCAGTTCTAAATAAATTTTTTTCAACAATAAATTTGAGTATTTTTTAATTCTATTTAGAAAATTCCCAGGCGGTGAGAGCTTAAAATTTTAAACTTTTTGGACCACCCTAATGTACATACATGCATAAATACATACATATGTATATAGCATATTCACACGTGCCTATACATGGTTATGTTGAAATTTTTATTTTTATCTGTTTTGTATACACACATACATACATACTATATATGTAGATACCCTGCAGCAAATCAAACTAGTTCAGAACTTACGCTGAGCTAGCCTGAAAAGGGACGGTACTGGTTCTTCATCTATCCCAACTCAATGCTTGCAACTGTCTTTTTTAACATGGCGATGTCCTACGAAGTGACAATTGTCGCCCTCTGCAGAACTTTTGAACTTGTTCTGAGCTGACTCTGGCTTAGATGGTTCTGGTACAGTTCATATAACAACAGTTCTTAGATAGTTCAAAAAGGGTCACCTGCGGGCTAGAAAAAATGTGGTTAGTTTTGAGCTGGTTCTAATAAGTATAGTATAGAGCCTTTTCTTTAAATAAGCACGCATACAATTTTGTAAATAAAAATACTTCATTTTATGTTTAAAGAGCTATTTGTTTTGAACTAATTTACTTTTTGTGAATGTGGGCGGTGGTGGCGACTGCCAGCCAGTTATTGAGTGCGATAACGAAGCTTCTTTGGGTAAGGAGCAAAAGTCCGACGTTGTTATTGATGAGAAGGAAGTAAATCCCATGGTGAAATTGGAGCTGAAGAAGCGCAAGGAACGTACTTCAGAGGAACGCGAGAGTGCGCTTACGCGCAAGCGCTCAAGTGGCGAAGAACGCAAGGATAGCAGCGCAGAGAACGGCGAACATGAGCGGGAAGAACAACAGCTCCGAGAACGTGTCACACAAAGCGAAATGTCTGATCAACCCTCAGAACGTGTCGCAGGTGCTGAGGTGGATGAGCAACAACAAGCCGCAAATGTGCCTCAGCCAGTAGAGGAAATGGAGAGTGTGCGACAACCAGCGGAAAAGACTAGCAGCGCTTCGGCTACGAATGCCCCATTTGCATCGAGTGGTTCGCACAAGCGCGCAAGTGTCAATAGTGAACAGATTGCGCCGCCGCCACCGCCACCACCATCGCTGCATCACGGTACGCATGGCTACAACAAGTACGCGCCTGAGGGTTATTTGCTAAATGAACATGGCATGTTAATAACACACGATTTCGTACATGCGCCTACGGCCGCCGTACCGTCGACGGGAGCAACAGCGTCCTCGTCGAGTGGCGTTGTAGCAGCCGCCAATGGAAATGATCAGGAGTTTGTTGATATAAAAATGGAAGAGTACGATGGCACA